CCCTAGTGATGCCGAATCAGCAGAGAAACCTTGGTCCTCGGAAAATGGTCACGGGGGCCCTGTTTTTCACTATACTAAAAGGTACAAGATTACAATCTAATACAGAATTTAAACTTTTGTAGAAAAACAGCATATCAAAAACAAATCTGCGTTTACTTAAGGAATCAATATTAACAGTATAATCGGGACATGTCTTAGCTAAAAAAAAATAAAAACCTTCTTTGTATTCTATCAATACGATGGGCCTGACTTGGAGAAATCGAGTTTATAATAAGTGCGGACGAATAATCGTTTTATACAAGCAAAGTAGAGCAGGCCCATCATTCACAAACCTACTATTTCTCCAAATCATACCCATCATTCGACTAGCATTTGACACAATATATTTAACATGGTAACAGAAATTTAACTTACTATCAATAAAAACACCTAAATCTTTATGAATAGAGACTAACTCAAGTTCTTGCATATTTAATTTATAACGGAACAGAATTGGTTTTTTTCTTAAGAGTAATTAATATTAATTAATATTAAAGAAGATAGTTGTACTTTATCACTGTGTCCCACTATAGCCAATTTAGCAATCATTGGACACAATGAAAAAGAATAGGATTATTTTTGAAAATATTAAACAAGATATTTATAGTTTATCACTCTGTCCCACTATAGCCAATTTAGGGCACTGAAAAAATTGTTAGATTTTCACTAATCACAAAATTAAATTGTTTTTGTAATTGTTTAAAAAATGATGCCGCCAAGAAAAATAAAGAGTTTTTAAAATTTCCGCTTCAATATTTCCTAATTTTTTTGACGCGGGCTGGAGTGATGGTCTAATAATTTTTTTTTCTATAGGCATAATTATGATCTGTTCATTGTGCGTTCGATTTTGATAATGATAGGAATGATAGGAGCACTGTATGATCAATGTGTGCCAAAATAAATATATGATTAACATAAAAAGTATGATGCCGTTTATTTGTACAATACTGCTATTGTTTCTAAAATTTGGTGGAGTAATGTAGTTCATGTGGTTATCATTTGAAAGTTATTGATCTATTAGTAAATTCTATAATCTGGTTGTTGTACGCATATAGACATATTTTTTACATTTTTCATTTTATTTCTTTATTCATGTTCTTTGCAATTCATGACAAAGTAAGCTCAACCTTACATATTCAAAAACAGAGCGACGAAAAGGACCTCCACGAAACTCTTAGGAGCTTTTAAAATGGAGACCCGGTGTTAAAATTAAAGTTTGTTTAGACATAAAGACAGTATATAACTGCCTAACTACAAAGATACACCCCCTCTTACCCCAACAGTCATATTTATTTGATTTACATTTATTTTGAACATTGCCATTAGGACATTGTTTAAATCCACACTAGCCTATATTTTACACTGACTGTACTGTCGGCAATACCAGAGACGTTCATTCCCATTACATTATGGTCTTCCATTTCTATAGCGCATAATACAGTGCATGACAAACGTCACATAACCACTACTAATTCCACCTTTATTCGGAGTCGCTCAGCTCATTCTTACATGTGTAAATGTTCGTATTGACGCTGTGTTTTTTAGCATTGTTGTAAAGTAATAACCTATCAGACATTTACATGAACAACAAAACAAATGGAAATATATTTGTCTTAACTATTGTTTTCAACAAAGTGGCGTATCCATATTTTAAAGAAGGGGGTGCTGATGTAATGAGAGAGTCCACATCACGTCAGTACCACCGTGGTTGGCGGTGACGCAAAAATTTCAGTATTTTATACCACTGGATGCCCGAAAATAGAACTTACAGTACCTATTAAATAATAATGTTTTTGACAAATTGAGTAAAAAAAAACCCCAATTAATTAATCAGGTACCCGAAAATGAAATTTCAGTACTTACTATTCTAAAAACAACCATAATCAACTGAGCCCCACTATGGTTGGAGCTCAGGTGAGAACATTTTGAGAAGTTGAGACTCGTTAGATGCACAAAAAAGCACTTGAATAGTACAAAATTTACGATATCCACCTGAGCCCCACCATGGTTTTAGGGCGCAGATGAGTCAGTTGCAAGAATTTGAGACAACACTCGGATACTTAAAATTTATGAAATTTTTAATCCATCTATCTCAGCCCACCATGATTGAGGCTGAGGTAAAACAATTTTAAGAATTAGAGATTTTTAGATGCAGGAAAATGGCAAATACATAAAAACAACAAAAAATACTACCGTATATCCACAAAGGCTATCCCCATCATGGAGGTGAGAAAATGTTAAAAATTGGGGAATTTTGATGCCGGAAAATGGCAATGTCATACATAAAAACTAGAAAAATTACTATATCCACCTGAGCCCCGTCATGTTTGAGGCTGCATGAGATAAAGTTGGAGAATGGCACTTTAATACTTAAAATTTATGTTGGTTATTTTTTAACATTTGAAAAGGGGATGTCAACGGGACGCAACTGCCAATAAACTTGGCAGCGAAGGGACGCTATCAATAAACAATCAACAAACTACCGGGTTTCTGGGTTGATTTCCAAGTTACTACATGGCTCAACTATTTTTTACTTTAGGGTTAATTGGTAAAAATCGCACACAAATCATACGACGTAACTGACAACGCCGGGGACGGCAACTCGATCTTGAGATTAATTTTCCGAATAAAGTTATACTAAATAACTTCTGATGACGAACTATTGTCTTCAATTGTCTTTGTTAGTCATTCAACTGTCATTTTATCTATTTTTTCGGTGATATTACTATTCTCAATAATCTATAAAACACCCACATATCAATGTCACGTTAGATCGATCGGTGGGGACGCCATGGTGACGCTGGTAGGGTCAATTTTCGTCGGAAGGTATCAAGATGATAAACAGTTTCATTGGACTAAATTCTTGCTTATGTTAACCACATGCTTACCTAAAATTGTACTAACTTTGGTTTCAAATCAAGGTCAAGTAGTTAAAAATCATCTAAAATCACCTTATTTTGCGAATTAGCGCCCCTTAACTGATCATCGAGAAACCCCCCCCCCCACTTCACCAAGAGACACCCCCACTTCACCTTTGCGTTCCCCACTAGGCCCCACACCCCATTTCAAGACATCTAGATACGCCACTGACTTACATGGCCAGATGAATGAAAATACTCAATCGATGTGCCACCAAGTTGTAACCAGCCTTCACCATGCCCTCATGATGTCACCGGGGACGCAACTGCCAAAAAACTATTTTTAGCAGCGAGGACGCTAACAATAAACAAACTACCAGGCTTCTGGATTGATTTTCAAGGTACTACATGGCTTAACTATTTTTTACTTATGGGTTAATTGGTAAAAATCGCACACAAATCATACGACGTCACTGACAACGCCAGGGACGGAAACTCGATTTTGGGATTAATTTTCCGAATAAAGTTATACTAAATAACTTCAAATGACAACCTATTGTCTTCAGTTGTCTTTGTTGGTCATTCAACTGTCGTTTTATCTATTTTTTCGGTGATATTTTGGTCGGAAGGTATCAAGATGATAAACAAGTTTCATTAGGTTAAATTCTTGCTTATGCCACTGCGGCTGGTTTCCAGGCAGCCACGAATATTTGACGAATTATGGCGAATTGTTATTACTTATTTGATAGGCATCGAGCTACTATAATATGACTTCATGTAGGCTATGTTTTCTATTGTCGAAATCAGCTAACAAAACCAAAACATTTTGAAAAAAACAAGAAACAAAGAGTTTGCAATGTAACCATTTAATTTCCTTACAAGTCCACTTTCTTTAAAGTGAAATTCTACATTATGGAAATTTTGCACGAAATCTGTCAACCCCGATGTCAAGGTCGAGGTTGCTTCCCCTATCGTCGCGATGTATTCCAAGCATCATGAAGCTATCCAAATGGGTATTTGTCATAACAGAACGCAAAATATTTTTAATTAGTGTCATTGAACTATTATTGTTATTATTATTATTATTATTATTATTATTATTATTATTATTATTATTATTATTATTATTATTATTATTAGCGTCACCACTGGATTCAATAATCTGCTGTATACCTTGCTTTGCCATTTTCGATAGGTGAATAGGACCGAATTGTAACTTTAGAGCACTGGTGAATATTTATTACTTCGTAATTTTCATAACGAATTATTTATAAACCATACTTCCTCGATGTCATTATTTAGATATAATGGCACTCGACTTACGGTTATTTAGGCCTATATATAATTGGAAGTAAAAACCATTATTTAGATATAATGACCTTGACACGATAACACGTGTGCATTACATATAAAATGAGTTTGAAGTCCAAGGATTATGGTTTTGAGACAGCTATTATTTATATATAATGAAATGTAAAAGCATTTATATATAAATAATGAGTTTGAAGTCAATTCGTTATTTATATATAATGAAATCAGTGAACTTATTATATATAAATAATTGTAAGTTACTTTTCATTATTTAAATATAATGATTTGTTACCTTTTCATTATTTATACATAATGGAATCAGTGAACTTATTATATATAAATAATTATAAGTTATTTTTCATTATTTATATAATAATGATGTGTTTCCCCTTCCTTATTTATATAATAATGAAGCCAGTAACCTTATTATATATAAATAATGTTTGGTTAGCCTTTCATTATTTATATATAATGTAATAAGTAAACTAATTATATATAAACAATGAAACGTTAACGCAATTATTTACATATAATCTTTTAGACGTAAATGCACTATATATAAATAATGGGTGATCTAGTCAATTATATGTTGAATAATGAATTATATATAAATAATTGTGTTAAATAATAAATTTACACTTGGCGTCTCATATATTTGTACCCCTTACCCCCACCCTAGCTACCCGAAATGAAATAGTAGGCTCCAAAGACATCGAACAGATGACCGAAGCCTGTTTTGGCATACCTGCATGCTTTATATACATACTTGCCTGTAATAGATTATAGGTGGCGCTACACTATTTGTTTACAGTTTGGGGGGGATAAGCTGAAAGAAGGACCTGTCGACTTTTACATGTGGGCCGCGCCTAGGAAAAGATTTATTCAGATAATCATGACGACAGAAGCTGATTTTCAAAAAGTAATTTGTTAAAATTGAAAGAATAATGTCATCTTAAATTTGAATTAACTATTGAAATCTAAATTATATCCTCTTTGCTAGTTAAATGATTATGAATGTCCGATCTACCCTAGCTAAGGCTAAGCCCTACTAGCCTAGCCTCCTCCTCCTACTACTAATTACTAGTAGTAGGCCCTCCTAGCCTATTTATGATTCCCTGGCTGGGAGGAAGCCTCTAGGGCCTTCCTGCTAGCCCCTACTACTGGCCTAGTAGTTGTGAGCAACCACATACTCAGAGTCATAGCCCAGTCAGTGCATTTGCCCTACTCACATCCATTGATGATTGGCTCTCTCAATGAGATACCGGTAGGTGTATTCCTCTAGGCCTTGGTTAGAACATGACTGGGCCCAAGGCAAAGCAGCTAGCTGAGCTATAACAGTGACAGTAAACAACTTGGAAAGACACAGATATTTTGGAATATGTCAGAAGAGGGAATGCCTGAGAAAGAAGCAAATTTTAATCTCATGAATATTTTTTTTTAAATGATAATAATAAACTTCTAATTTGTCATGCTTTTTGATTGTTTGCACATAATAAAAGTAATTACATTTTTTACTCAAAATCATGGCCTTTGGTGTACAGGTTACTTAGATCTTTCCATGCTTTTACAAATCCAGTAGTACAGATTTATATACACTGTATAACAACTTTTATTCAAAACTATATTTGAACCTGCAGTTTCTGTTTAGTCCTAGGTGTATTATTTTTTTATATGTGCATAAATCATAATGGAAGTAGTTAAAAAATACCATTTTTTATTTTCCTTCTAGTTTGTTGATGATGGATACCTTATAATCAAGGATTTCTTATCAGAAGCAGATATAAATGAAATAGAACAGAAGTGTTATGATATTGTTCAGGAGATGAACCCCAATGAGCATACATTACAAACATTCTCAACTTCTGAAGATGACCAAAATAAGGTATGCATGCCTTCCTCACAAAAGAGAAATAATATTTGAATCATGATAACAATTGTCATACCAGTCTTAAATAAATTCCTAATTCTGATTGGATCTAATTGTTTAAACCCAATCCAAACATACAATTAACATTTAACCATAATTTGTAATTCCTTTAAAACTGGTGTAACAGTAGCCTCCACCTAATAAATATGTATTTGTTAATACTTTCTTTTGTAATTCCTTTAGGTGTAACAGTAGCCTCCACCTAATAAATATGTAATTGTTAATACTTTTTTTTTTAATACGTACTGTATGCATTGAGTATTCTGTGTCTTGACACATCCACAGAAGACCTTGGCTCTGGAGTGTACAGCTAGACCTTACATGCTCAGCAGCCTGGGGCTTTTGGCCTGATTGTCCCCACCCCTCTCAATACTGCACAAAGGATTTCATTGTGTGGTCACCATTCACATATTAAAGTCTTGTGCATTTCAAACTAAGAGACAGCTTATTGAATTGATTGTTGATTTTCTAATCGTAGTTTCAGTTTGTTTGATTAAAATTTAAAAAGAATATTTTATATAATTATTATTATATGCATAAAACTGAATATATGAAGGCTGTTCAGTAAAATTATTAAAATAATTTAGATACCTCCAAATCCTCTTCCAGAAAAGAAACAATTACTTCATGGAGAGTGCAGACAAAATCAGATTCTTCTTCGAGAAGCAAGCAGTCAACGAGAAAGGTACATAACTGAGATGGCAACTTTATTGTTTTTTAAAAATTATTTGCACAATAAAGCAGTAGAGGGTTGGTGTGTAAATTATTTGCACTTGAAAATCAATCTTGCAAACTTGTAATAACTACCCAGTCCTCCCCACACACAACTTCCTTGACTCTAAGGACTATTAGTTAAAGCTGCCTGAACCAACACAATTGGTTGGTTAATGAAAAAGTATGAAGATTCTTATGAAAAATATGAGATTATAAGATGGATTTAAAGTCATAAAGGGAGGGAAAAAAATGCTGATTGTTTCAAAACTAATTATACGTTCTGTTTTCTTATGTTGAACAAGAGATGCAAGTTGAGGACACAAATGGAAACAAATAGCAAAGTCTTGATTGGTCCATAATATATACCTGTAGTCAGTGGTGGTGCCAGTGGGGGTGGGGGCTGAGGGGGCTATAGCCCCCTCGTCGGGGAAGCCTAATTGGTTTTAAAATGCCTATTCCAGAAGCCTATTCTAAACCATTAAGTCATTCAAGCGTAATGAACAGTAACCAATGTCCAGAGGGCGCCACCTGGTGTTGTGACGACACGACTGTGGTACTCTATAGTACTTTTTACATTGAAACAACATATCCTTCACAGTGAATTAATTACGAACATCTATTGGAAAGTCAGCAAAACAGTGTCAAGTGCCGTAAAACAGCTTTTTGACACTACAGTATTTTTTAAAATGATAGTGCATATTAATGGTATGTATTGAAATAAGAAAAAAAAAAGAATACAAATGCCCCTCTCCCGTTTGAAAAATTCTGGATCCGCCCATGTTCAATGAGACTAATTAAAAATGGTTGACGTTCTACTATGACAAATGCTCTTGATAGGAAAGCAAGGTTTACAGATTTCAGGTAAAATTTAGAACTTCACTTTGAACTATAAGCTTGTACTGTGACGTTCCCGGTGACATTGTGGTTTCTTAATTTATCGTATAATGTCACAAATTGGTGGCCTTACAATTTAGAATATGACATTATTCTTATTCATAATTTAATTTTGTTTGCTGTTAATAATTCACAATCACATGGATTATGAAAAACCTTGATTTCGCAATGATAGGAGGATAGTGTAATGTAATATGGTGTTCTTTTTAATAATATTGAAATGGAAAACAGATTTGAAAATAAGTTAGTTGGTTACATTGCATACTCTTTGTTTTTCGTTGTTTTATTCAAAAATTGTTGGTTTTGGAAGTTAGTTTCGACATTAAAAAACATACATGAAGTCGTATTATGGTAGCTTGATGCCTATCAAATAACTAATAAAAATTCATCAAAATTTGTCAATTATCTGTAGCTTCCAAGGGGCTTTGCCCCTGGACCCTCACCGGTGGCCCCTTGGCGGCCTCTTGGCCCCAGCCAAGTGAGGCTTGCTCCGCACGCCTAGCCCCCCCTCGGGCCTTTAGCGACCCCCGTCGGGCAGATCCTGGTGCCATCACTACCTGTAGTGTAATTACATTTCCTGATTTTTTGAGGTGGATGCATAATTATTGTTTCATTATGGTAGGTGATCTGACCGTTGATAAACACAAGGCTTTGAATAAGATTGGCCATGCCCTGCATGTCCTCGATCCAGTGTTCAAAAAGGTTACACACTCACAGCTAATTCAGGTTAGATTTGTTATACATTATAATGTTTTGTGTTTGTCAAACTATCCTATTAACATCTTGCATCCAAAACACCCACAGTTGACATGAAATTTACATAACTTGCGTGTAACCTGCCTGTAACTTATTTGCTTGCGTAATGTCTACACTGACCTGGAATTTACTTGTAACTTGCCTCTTTTCTTACAACTTGTCTCCTTTCTTACAACCTGCCTGCCAACTTACCTGCAATTTATATGATACTAGGTTGTAACTTGCCTGCCCTTCGCTCTACAGCAACTGATCTGCAACTTGCTTGAAACTTGCCTGTTAGCTTGCAACTGACCTGTAACTTGCATAAACTTGCCTGCAACCTGCATGCTAATTTGACACTATCTAGCAGATTATCTTACTTGGTTGGCAAAATATAGTGGTTTGAATTGACTTCCTGCCAATTGCTTTTTTTTTTTCTTTTGATTCCTGCTAAATGGTTTCATTCCCTTTATTAACATTTTAGAGGGTTGCAAAAAATCTGGGTTTCAAGAAACCAGTAGTGGTGCAGAGTATGTACATTTTCAAGTCCCCTCATGTCGGTGGAGAGGGTAAGGTCTTATCAATCTTCATGTTAAATAGAATTAATTTGAAATCATCTTTAATTACAAATAATATAATGTAGAAACCGAAAAGTCCACTGATTAATCTCAGATAAGATAGTATAATTAATACATATGCCAAGTGTCGAAATGCACGCCATTATAATATAATGTAGCTTAATGTAATTACTTGTTCATAGTACTGATCTTGAATGTTCAACAGATACTGTAGATGATATGTTTTTTCAATTTTCTTGTTTGTTTTTGTTTTAGTTGTTCCTCACCAGGACTCCACATTTCTGTACACAGAGCCTATGAATATTTTGGGTTTCTGGATACCATTGGAAGACTGCACATTGGAGAATAGCTGTCTTCATTTCATTCCAGGCTCTCATAAAAGTACAGTACTACTAGTATAATCTTTCCTACAGATATTGAACTCTTAGATCAATTTGTGATAATGGCACTACAAGTTAATAAATTAATTATTCTCAGTTGTCAGATGTGACGACTGCCAGTGGGTGGTCAACCCAATACCAAGTCAAATCTATGGGCTTAAAGAGACCACTTGAAGTATGCCATGCCCTTAGGTACACCTGCTAGGCTCTGAAGTATATGTGAAAAACAGATATACAAAAAAACTGCCGAGTAATTTTTAAAAAAGCATACATACAGTAGCGGGCATCCTACCGTAGCTGGGGCTGTGGGCGTATCATTTTGTTTTATACTCAAAATGAACATACTGTGCTTTTTTTACTTTCTATACTCATTCCTTGCACCTACTGCAAAATTTTGCAAGTGCATGTTAAAAAATGCTGTACACTCTTTGGTTATGTTTGTGTTTTTGCCAGTAAATACCTTTTGTCTGTAGCTGTTGTTTCTTTTCAGATGGAGTCAGTCGCAGAATGATAAAGGCTGAAGATGGTGTGTCCACAACATTTGTGGGTCCACTTCTTGAATTTGACAATGATAAATTTATTCCTGCTGAAGTTGAAAAAGGTATGTGTGAAAAATCTGATGAGATATATTTATGCATTTTCAGGTTTGATTTAATTGACTAACTATAGTATTTATTCACACAAGCTTTCGCCAGTATAGTCTATAGCCATGTTTATACGGTCGTTTGCTATCAGTTAAGTAACCGATGATCTCCAGTCAAGCGTCTACACAAATCATTGGTTATACCAGGAAGTCACGTGATTAAAACTGACCTGAAAAAACATGCGCATTGCTGCTTGTTTTGAAACCCTTTGTCAGAAAGTTTTAAAAATGTGTGTTATTGATAAAAACATAATTTCATACTACCAGAGGATCCACTAATTAGTCTTAAATAAAACAAAAAACAGTAACTCCAAAAAGAGACAGAGATAATTTGAGATTTAACGTTTCGATCTATTTGATCATTTTCAAGAATGAGCGAGCCAAATGGCCGAGTGGTTAAGGCAGGGGCACCGTGATCATAGCCAACAATATTGACACAGGTTCGTGACCGGGTCGCTCCTATAGTTCAGGTGGTGGAACAAGTCTTTTCGGATAAGGACTATAAACCGTAGGCCCAGTGTACACAAATGCTCATGTGCACTTTAAAGAACCCAGTACATCTTTCGAGATGAAGGGGGTTACCCCGGTGTACTGATTCACTCGGCCCCTGTCGTGGACAGATGAAAGTTCGCCAGTTTACTGGCTGCAGTGGACATGAAGTGACCCTCAGGGGAGGAGAAAGTTATTGCAAAGTGCAACATCTAGTCCCAAGTGCATAGAGACTTCATTTATCTGCGCTAAATCCATCTATTATTATTATTATTAATACTGGTGAGAAAATCTCACCCATCCATATATGTTTACAATATTTACAGTATAACAGAAAACAAATAAAAACCGACCAATCAGATTAAAATCAACTTGCCAATTGAAAACGAGGTAATTAAAAATGAGGTGTGCCTTACATTAAGTATACCACTTATTATTGTGAATAAACAATGAATAATCAACAATTATTCAACAATAGTATAGAAGCCTGTAATGATAATTGTATTCACACTGTTTATCAACAGCGATGACTCACACAAGTCAAACAACAGCTGATTTGCTTAAAGATCACACCAGTGGTCTCTGTTAACACTGCTGCGATGAAGAGGTAACTCTATAGATCATTGCGGTTAAAATCTATATTAACGGATACTCACACTCATCAGAGTGATCTAATGCCATGTAAACAAGGCTTATGCTGGCTTCATCAGAGTGCACCTGATGAAGCCAGCATAGACTGCTGGCAAAAGCTTGTGAATAAATACCATACTTCAGTATACGTCAACTGTTTCATTTTACAATGTTTTTTTAGAAATTGTTGGTGAATATATTCCTTCTCTTGCATCTGCTAGGGTCTTTGGTTTTGATTCATGGAGAAGTTGTCCATAAGAGTGAGCATAACTACTCTGAGAAATCCAGACATGTGTACACCTTCCATATTGCAGAGACTGAGGACACCAAATGGAGCAAAGAGAACTGGTAAATTAGTTTTTCAAAAATCTCCATTCACATCCATTGGCAATAAACCACTTCGTAGTTCTAACTGCACATGTCCATAGTGAAGATCAATCACCATAATCATTACACAGCATACACAAACAGCAACAACACAACATAGGCCTCCAAATTGGCACGGCCTTTTAGAATCGTCTAAATTTTTAGGAAGCTATGAGTAGCAGTTCTTCATCTTTACCATAAATATTAGTTTTTCATTTGATTCCTATTACCAAAGCATTGTAATAATAACATTTATTGATAATAATCAAACCAATCATTTGAACTTAATTAATTTTTCTTCTTCTCTGTTGTTGTTAAGTGCCTAGAGGTTGTGTCAACGTGAGGCACTATATAAATCCAGAATTATTATTATTATTATTCTTTACACTCTACATCACATCATAGTTTACTATTTTCAGATAATTCCGAAGGCTGCCGCCCTAAGTCTTAAGCCTAGCCTATTTTGTGTGCGTTAAATGATTGTTTATGTCGATAGACCTTCATTACGAACATGCAAAGTTAGAACTATGAAATAGATTATTTCATTTGTCAATCATAGGATAAAAATATATGATATGTTCTACAAACTAACACCTGTACCTTAGTTCTAAATGTTTTACTCCAATAAATTTGGCTGTATCCATCAACATTAAAGTTTAGCGCTGTGAGACAATCTGTGTAGGAGCGCTTTATAAATATTCAAATTATTATTATTATTATTATTATTATTATTATTATTATAAAAGAAAAAAAAAATCAGTTTAGCCTATAAAATTAATATGTTCAAGCAACCGTACATTATTGAGCTATTTTCTGAATATATGTACCTGTTTGTTTCACCAAGGAGGTATGACATGTTTTCACTTACTTATTTTTTTATTTTATATTTAATAAAATCAGCACTTTGCTGTCATCAACGTGGAAATATTTTGTGATTTTCAAAACCTTCTATTTTTTAGGTTACAAGAGAGTAACAGTATGAAATTTCCACCTCTGTATCAGTGATTTGGTTCATGATCATCTGGCATTAAACCCTCTGTCCTAGTGATGGTTAATGCCCATCTGTCACTTCCATCAGTGACTTAATTGATGACAGTTTGCTATTCTACCTCTATATCAGTGACTTGGTTGATGACGGTTTGCTATTCTACCTCTATATCAGTGACTTGGTTGAAATAACCAAACATACATACATTCAACACTGCATACATTTAGTTTAGTTGAAGGGATACTTACAGTGGAGGATCCAGGAATTCAAATTAGAGAATTCACAAATGGAGAGTCTACACCACCTCAGGCCCACCATGGTTAGGGCTGAGGTAAGAACATTTTTAATATGGCACCTAGAAATGGCACTCTCAGACCTAAATTTGGTTAGAATTTTCCCCTTTTGTCCATTTCATGTATAATTTTGAAAAATTTAGGGAAGGGCCCAGGTTGGCTCAGGGCCCCCCCCCCCTTCCACTGAAGTACAAGATGTCTGGTAATTCTTCTCATCGAGGAAGATGGTCAGTGAAGCGGTGGTGCCACAAATTTGCTGACAAGGGGTCCGACATGTCCAACAGAGGGGTCTGAACCAGGGGACAAAGTAGAGCCTTTGTCGATTAGGAAATCCCTGATAGGGTTGATGGGGAGAGTTTTTATGGTTTAGTATGGTCCAAATTGGGCTTTTAAACTACAATATTAGGGATTAGCAATCAAAATAATGTTATTGGATAGGCAAATTATTATTCTTATTTTTGGTCTGACAACCTAGTTGTGGCGTCAGACAACAGGAGGGTCCAGGCCTGTCCCACGGGGAAAAATCCCCCCCCCACCTCACCAAATATTGGTAACAGGTACATGGTAGCTTAAATGAAACTTATTTTGAAACTGAGTTTATATTGAAATAAATGTGCTTTATATATTGTACTATCATAATATTATTAATAAATCTGTTTATTATTGCACCAATGTCTTATTGTGCATTAAATCATGCATTAATTTGAGTTAGAAAAAAATGTTTGTTATGATTTTACCGCCCAGACGCCGACACATACGGTATCTGGAAGAAATAATCGTGATTCATTAGAACATAATTATATATATGACATTATGCTTTGTTGGGATTCACAAACATTAATTGATTATCTAAAAATTAGAATTCTGCCTTTCGTAAAAAATGTAGTATATTAGCAACAAAATTCAAATAATGGTACAGAGCAACACTATTCAAAAGTTTAATCAATATTTCGTTTAAAGAAATATCTTTTATCAATGTATAATTATTGTTTTTATATCTTGGTTGTTTAAGTGATTATTCATATTCACGTTTTAAATCATGTATATTAGATATGACTGGTAATTATTGGCGTATGTAGTCATAAATAAACATTCTTTCTCATAATAGTGTTTGAAGCTTAGTTTTGTATTTTTGATTTATGTATTTGTTTATTCTAAAAATATGAGTAATAATTACGGCCTTGTACGTGGAGGGATTAAACATCATCATCATCATCATCATCATCACATTACCATTTTAGTCAAAATCAAACTCCAACAAATTCCACATGATCTTCAGTAACACTTCTTTCATGGTATAACATGGCATAGAACTGCTGCAGAATGACATCTACAGTTCATTTCGTCGCTCACATCACGAACTAAAGGCAGGCTCAGGTCGACACGGAACTCAACTCAACTCAACTCAACTCGTCGACATGAGCGCTCCGCGCAACTGAAAGGAACTGACCGGAACTGAACGCAACTGAACGGAACTGACCGCAACTGAAAGGAACTGACAGTCGCGCATATTTGTCGACATGAGTCAAGTTGAGTTGAGTTGAGTTGAGTTCCTTTCAGTTGCCCATGTTCAACTTTTTGCGGAACTGAAAGGAACTGAAAAAAGCGCGAAAAAAATGCTGATTCGGAACTCAAAGGAACTGAAAACGTTGATCCTGATATTAATCGTAATCAAGATGCATTAACTGAAATAAGATATTATATTACAATGTTTTGTTAATGGCAGATTACTTTATTCTTTTTTTTAAAATATAGGCCATAGGCCAGATTTTTATTCTAACACATTAACAAATAGGCCTAGGTTAGGCCTAATAATAATAATAATAATAATAATAATAATAATAATAATAATAATAATAATAATAATAATAAT